GTAGAAATGAGGTCTCGCCAAGTTGCCCAGGTGGGTCTCGAACCCACGGGCTCAGGCAATTCACTCACCTCAGCCTCCCAAAGTGTGGGATTACAGTCTGAGCCACTGAGCCCGGCTTAATTCTGTGATTTTCAACGGGGGTAATTTTTTCCTCAGGAGACATCTGGCAATGTCTGAAGAAAATTTTTTTTTTTTTTTTGAGTCATAGTCTCACTCTGTCGCCCAGACTGGAGTGCTGTGGCATGCTCCCGGCCACCGCAGCCTTGACTTGCTGGGCTCTGGTGATCCTTCCACCTCAGCCTTCCAAGTAGCTGGAACTTCCGGCATGCACCACCACGCCTGGCTAATTTTTTTGATTTATTGTAGAGATGAGGTCTCGCCAAGTTGCCCAGGCGGGTCTCAAACCTGCGGGCTCAGGCAATACACTCACCTCGGCCTCCCAAACTGTGGGATTACAGGCTGAGCCACCGAGCCCAGCCTGGAGACATTTTTGGTTGTCATGCCAGGGGTTGGCCAGAAACTCTGCTGAACATTCTACAATGCACAGGTGCCCTTCACATAAAGAATTATTTGACCAAAAGGTCGATAGTCAGTGGCAAGATTGAGAAACCCTGGTCTAATCTAACCAGACTGGGTATTTGAGGACACAACATTTAGGGTGAGAATTTAAGGATAAGCAGCAGTTAGCCAGAAGAAGTGGTGGGGGTGAAGGGACTTGGCAGAGAAAACAGCAAGTCTGATGCCCTTGTGGTGGGCAAGAGCTTTGGGTTCTGTGGCTGAAAATGGAAATGAAGGGCTCAAGACAGGCTGGAGAGAATGTTACTTACTGGGGGCATCAGGGAGACACTGTGGCATGGCCTCAAATGATGGCAATAAAAACAGAGAAATAAGGCTGGGCGTGGTAGCTCACACCTGCAATCCCAGCACTTAGAGAGGGTGAGGCAAGAAGTTTGCATGAGCCCAGGAGTTTGGGACCAGCCTGGGCAACATGGCAAGACCTCGCCTCTACAATAAATCAAAAAATTACCAGACGTGGTGGCATGCACCTGTAGTTCCAGGTACTCAGGAGGTTGAAGCAGAAGGATCACCTGAGCCCAGCAGGCTGAGGCTGCAGTAGCCATGATTGTGCCACTGCACTACAGCCTCGGCAACAAAGTGAGAATCCGACTCAAACAAACAAACAAAGACAAATGCCATGTATATGAAGTCAAAGTCAACCAGACTGGTTTGGAGAGTAAGGTCAATTCTTGGGCTTGGGTACCTGAGTAGCTGGTGTTCCCCCTGCAGAGGACCACTCAGCAGAAAGACAAATGGAAGAAGTGGGAGTAGTTCAGTTTGTAGGTACCTGTGCACTTGGGCCTGGAACTCATGAGAACAGAGCTGGGAATTCAGATCATAGGAGCAGATGGAATTTGAGAACTGCAGCTATATAAAAGTCACTTTGTAAGCCACAGGAATAAGTGAATTTGCTTGGAGTGCTTCCTAACGTGCACTTCCCAAGTCACTCCCCTGTTTATAACCCTTCAATGAGTTCTCCCCACTACGTGTAGGGATAAAGTCAGATCAAGACCTGAAACAATCTGGTCTCTGCTCGCTTCTCCAGCCTCTTTTCCTCCCAGACCCCACTCCTACTCTGGCTTCGCATGAATTCCCTCCTTCCGCCCAAATGAAAGATGCTCCCAGCCTCAAAGCCTTTGGCATGCTAACCCTGTGAGGAACCTTTCTCCTAGTTCACTCTTGTGATTCTTTGCTTTTCTGGCTTGGCTGTCCTCTCCTTCAAAAGACTTAGGAGTTTAGCTCATGGTAGGAGCCCCGGTTCCAAGAGCACCACACAAGATCAAAACTGATTCGTCTCTCCCTCCCCCCCCACCACTCTCCTGGCACTGGTAGCTCACTCAAGGCCCTGTCTCAGAGCTCATAAAACTCAGTAGCATCAGCCACTAGTGGCTTCGCATAAGGTCTTCCTGTTCCCCAGGACTCTAACGCCTCAGGTCCCAGGCCTCTGCAGTCAGCCAGTGGGGCCCGTGCTTCGAGACCTGCTTCTCCTCGGAGGGGCCTCCACACGCGACTTCTTGGACCTCGCGCGACTTCTTGGACCTCAGCCACCTCAGTAGGGTCCGCACTTCCCTGCTCAGAAATGTCTCGTTTGCAATTTTCCGCGACCCCACCCTCATCTTTGGGGGAAAAGTCTCACAGTCTCACCGCGCCCCCAAGAGGCCACACCCACTGGGGGGCCTCACTCTCTATCTGCCGTTCTGCCTGGCCTCTGCGGGAAAGCCAGACCCCCGGCCATCTAATCAAAGGGGCCATACAGCCCTTGCTACCCCTCCCCGCCTCCACACGACCGCGTCTTCCCACATCTTCCCGCGATTCCGCCCCCTAATCCATGCTAGCGGCATTTTAAGAAGGACTGTGGTAGCCACATCAGCTTTTTGTCTCTCGAGCCTCCCTCAGGTTGGCCTTCAACCAGCCATCTCCAGAGCTCTTTTCCCACCTCCGAGCTGGCCTCCTCCCGCCGCCCGTGCTCCTCCCCGAGGCATCCCTTTGTTCCTGTTGGCCCCACCCCAGGCGAGCGCTGTTTCTTTGCCCGCTAGCGTGCCTCAAGCCAAGCCTCACCCGCCAACAGCCGATCCCCCACGCACTCCAGACCCGTGACCGGGAGGAGTATGAGCTCTGAGGTTGCCCGCGGCCAAACGTAGTCCTCGAGAGCGTCCATGTCGGTCTTCAGGGTGCTGCAGCAGCCACCGCCAAGAAGGGAGAACTCTCGCGAGAACGAGCTTTCCCGGCGCGCCGCTCTGCCGATCAGCTGCGCCCCTAGCTACAGGTAGCAGAGCCCAGGGCCGCCCGTGGCGGACGTCCAATGACGATCCTTCGTCCCACGCAGTCCAGCTCACGATTGGCGGAGCCCGCGAAGGGAGCCGCCCTCGCCCCGCCCCCCTCACGTCACGCCTGCAAAGCGCTCCTGGTGGCCTGCGGGCTCTGCCTGGTCTAGTCTCCCTCCCCGCCGACCCGGAGCTTGTCGGCCGGGCGGCTCGAAGCCTTGTGGTTTTATTTGACGGGGCAGTATGGGGTCTGTACACAATAAATAACATGAATATAGGAGCTGCGCCGTATCGCGGCTGCAGGCAGAGGCGGGGCAAGACATTGGCTTTAGTCTTCAGCAGCATAGGAGAGCCAAGCAACCAACCATACGGTGCGGGCGACCCGTGGCCGAGGGTTGGGGCTAACCCTCCCCTCAGAGCTCCACTCGCGCATCGCGGTAGGCCCGGTCCAGGGCCCACTCGGGCTGTGAGTCGGCGCCACCCTCTCGGGCCAGGCGGGCCATCTCCTGCTGGAATAGCGCTTGACGCGCCCTGCTGGGGTCCACATTGATCCAGTTATTGGCGATCCACTTGGTGCCACGCGTGACCAGGCAGCCCCCGTGCAGCGAGTAGTCGTCCACGTCGCCCACCCAACCTAGGAGAGGAGGGTGGCGTGAGCAAGGAGTGGTTGGAAGGGATTCTGGGATGGTCTGACCTGAGCTTGGCATTGTCCTCGGGACCAAGGGCATAGCAAAGGTGGGTCCAGCTGTACATGCTTTGAGTAGCAAAAACCTGGACCCAAGGTTTCCTTGGAGGCTCAGCATTTCACCCCACTAATGTAGGGTCAGCACTATTGGCCCTCTAAAACCACCTTTCTTGCTTCTGGGCCTGTCCACAGGCCTTCCCAGCCTGGGTTGGTAAGGGACACGTGTTGAGCTCCAGAGAGCAGAAAGTCTGGGGCACTGCAGAATGATAGTGGTCAAGGTAACCCTGGCGGCAGAACAGGTCCTGAGGCAGTCTGCTAAAGTCACTAAGGATGGTCTTTGTAGGTACCAGGGACAGAGAAACACGTGGAGGGCAGTCAGAAACTCCTCCATGGTGGCAGATGGGGGGCTAGGTAAGGGGAAGCTGCCCTCAGGGAATCCCCCTGGCTTGGCCATAGGTCCTCACCTTGCCCATCAGGCAGGTAGTTGTACCAGAAGACTGCTGTGCCCTGCCGAGGCTTGACACGCAGGTTTCCCTTGTCACAGTGCCGCCGAGTGTCTCGGAGGTCAACGTCATCCTGAATCAGACTCTGTAGGCATGAGGGTGGTGGGGTTTTCAGGTTTCCCCCACTGTATGGCTAGGAGCCAAGGACGGGCAGCCAACGGTGGCCAAAAGGAAACCAGCCAGATGTTCCCAGGGAACTACGTGGGCCCCCATTCCAGAGCTGGAGAGGTGTGTACTACACTTGCCCAACCCCTGCCAACCCACAAGAGTATAAACCCAGTCGGCCCTTACCATTTCATCGTAGGTTCTGTTGTCTGCTACAGGGAAGACAGTCTCACCCCCACTGGTGACGTTATTCAAATAAAACAGCACTGTCATATAGCTGTAAGGCAGAGGGGCCACTGAGCAGGTCCCCAGCAGTGGATAGTCCCAGGGGTTTACCTGCAGGCAAGATAAGCTGCCCAGGTTCCTATTCCCAGGAGCCAAAGGGGCAGGCTGGGATGAGTGACAATAGGACATGCCCAGACGTCCCTAACGCTCATTCCCCCAAACCCAGTCTCTTACTGTATGTGACAACATGTTTGTGTGGTTTTTTTTGTCAAGATCAGGTGCAGTTAGCTAAATTACATGGCCCTGCCCAAGGACCTGGCTGGAAAAGGTAAGCTAGTGGAAGCAGCAAGATCATGCAAAAAGTCTCATTGGGGACTGGAAGGGGCTGAGCCAGAACAACCCCATGAATAGGAGAAAACTGTCTTGGCCTGGGAGGGCGGCACAGCCTTAGCTTCTCTAAGTGGAGTCAAGATCGCCACCTGGGGGAGGGGGCAGAAATAGCTGGGGTCCAGCCTTGCCCCTTGCTTCAGAGCTCTGGGGACAAGTTTTGGTGTCTATGAGTACCTCAGTCTGTTTTGACCCAAGTGGACATAATGGTCAGTAGACAACTTGAGGAAAGAGTGGGACATCGTTGACCAGGATGACCTACTGCTCTCCTGGCCCTGTACCAAGGGGGCATGACCACAGGGCACGGCTGTGCTTATGTCATGGAAGTTCCTGCTCTGAGAAGTGAAGACAGCCCCCAGCTGGGAGATACTTGCCGGCAGGAGGTCTCGAAGGGTACAGACTCGTTGGCTACCAGCTTGGTATGGGAGCAGATGGTCTCTGGGTACACAGGCCCGCTGTCCACGTGGGCATGGTAGTGGCCCCCCTCACCATATCGCACAACCTGCAGCGGCTCACTGAGCTCCACGATCTCAGATGACAGACGAGTAAGGCGCAGCACCCTGGTGGGCAGCAGTCATTTGGTCTTCTGAAACCACCTTCAGGTAGTAGCCTGAAGAAGCTGGCCAAAGTGGACCCCGGGCTTGCCATAGCTCTGCCCCTGCCCACCTCCCCTGGAAGTCCCTCGAGCTGTCTCAGACTGGCCCTGTGAGAGCAGTAAGGGATTGCTCATGATGAGCCCCTCTGCCTAGATGCCACAGTGGGTGTTGGAAGAGGAGAGTTCCACTAAATTGGGGGAATGGAAAGGGTTTTGGCCCTGCTCCGTGGAAAGAAGTTGTTTATCTCAAGCCCCTGTCTGCTCAGGGCCAGGGGTCCTGTGGGCAGAGATAAGGAGTCATTTCTCCAATTAGAAAACAAATGCTTGATCTCTTTCTTATCTCAATTGTCCACTGTTTTCCCACAATGAGGGCTAATTTGCCTTCATTAATTGCGTCTTTCAGTGAGCCCCAATCCTGGTCTAACAAGTGAAACCTAATCTCAAAGTGGCTAGTCAATTCTGTGGAGGTCCTGCTCAGTCTTCTCTCCCTGCTTTGGGGAGGACAGCTACAGGTGCTCACCTCTGACGGATGGCACGCATGACGTGGTGGGCACCCTCACCCTGGTAGAGCCAGGTGTGGTGGCTGTTCCGTACCAGCTCACTGGACTCTGCCTTGTGGCTCCTCATGTACTTGTGGAAGTCTCGAAGGTCCACGTTGGAGAACTCCTGCAGACTCAGCACTCCTGCACAGGACACCCACAATCAATGCCTGCCAAACTGGTGTTGGGAAGCCACAGTGGCAGGCTGCACTTCCCTACCTACTCCAAAGGTAGCAGTGGCCTCAGGCACTGAGGGGCCATGTACACTTGTCCCCAACCTGGATTCAGGTCAGATGAGTCTGTTTCTGTCCCACTGGACCCTAAGGGAAGACCCACAGGAGTTTGTTTTCTTAGTTTAAGCCCTGACTTGGCCCCAAGAAGATGCCCAACCCCTAACAGAGTGGCCAGAGAAGGTTCTCCAAAGGAAGCTTGAGCTATATGGCTAGGACTGTAGGTTGAGGACCAGTTGCAGCCCTCCATGCTTGCTGTATGGAGCATAGTGACCACCCTCCAACCTGTAGAGGGTAAGAAAGGGAAGCCAGTGCTGGGTCTTATTCAGGACCTTCCATACTCTCGGGTACAAGCAGGGCTAGTCCCTGGGGGTTCGTTCTCTCAAGACCTCAGGTCTCATCCTAAGGGAACCCACCTGGCCAGTCCTGCCTGCTGTGTTACCAGCCCACCTTAGCAGAGAAAGCCAGGTCACTTCCCTAAGTGAGAACACATTCCTCATTCCTGCCCAAACCACAAAGCAGGGCCTCCATCCTCTTGGGGTTCTAGAAGAGTAGCTGATGTTTTTGATCCATGTTATTCTGGCTGATGCAGGGGAGACATCTTTCACCCTTTGGCCCAGATTCCTCTGAGAGTAGGATACATTCAAAGGCTGTGAGCTTGTCACCAGCTCTGTACTGGGGGCAGCATCGGTATAACAGTCATTTAGCCACAGGTCCCAGATTCTTCACTCTGGGTTTACCAGCCACAAGGCCATTCTTCCAAATCCTATTTGACTGCTGGATCTTCCTCATTTGGTCCAGAACTTGGGCATGAGAGTGGTACCACACCTCAGAAACCTCCTGAGGGTTATTACCAAAGGGGGGACCACTACATGGTAGTCCCCGTCCACGCCCACCCCCAACAATTAGCAAAGTTAGCAACACTACCACTTTGGTGCTTTGACATGACTCCAGGTGGGCAAGCGGGAGGCAAGGAAGATCAGGCTTAAACCAGGGAGGCGGCTCTCTGGTGTGGACCTTTTGTCTGGCTGGAAAGGTGGATGGAACAGGGTGAACAGCCAAGCTCAAGTTGGCCTCACTGTCCCCTGTTTCTTCTCTACCCACTCTGCCCTCTGCCAATTAGCAGCCATACTTCCTATACCCCAGACTCTAGACTCTGCCTGATGAAGACAAAAGGGTCTCCAAGAACTGCCCTGTAAACTGTCACCAAAGGGAATTGGGGTCTGCCTGCTTGCTTTCTAGGGGTAAGGAGCAAGGCTACATCCTCATCTCCCCATCTACAAAAGCTGGACAGAGAGGCTGCCTGGTTGTAGGAGAGGAGCCCAAGCTATTGAAATGATGCATCTGAGAGTGGGAAGGAGGCTCACAGGGGTAGAACCGTGGAGAGGTGTTAGCTTACCATCACCATCAGGGTCAGCCTTGATTGCAGCGTACATCTCCTGAATGTTCTCTGGAGTCATCCACCGACCGTTTCCCAGGCGAGTTTGGGCCAGGACCTAAAGCACAAGAGGGTCCCTCAGTGGGGTGACCCCAATGATGGAGAGTCACCAGAGCACAGATGGTTCAGTACTTGCTGTGGAGTTATGAGTTCAGGCATGGATGAGGACACAGGAGAGAGTCCAAGGTCCCTAGGCTAAAGTGAGGGTAGGCAGAGAGGTCCGGAGATATTGAGGAGCCGGGGGGGTCAGGAGCCTGAGGACCACTGGCATTCCCAGCCCTGCTGGGAATGTGGTCTTCATGGGGAGTGCTGTTTTTTGGAGATAGAGTGACGGACAGGCTTGTGTCCTACTCAGATACTCAGTTGTGGTGGAGGAGGCCAAGGCCTGGGTGTGAAGAGGGAACAGGCACCAGGGGGAGAACTGACTAAGGCATAGCCACTGGGACCCTCAGAAAGACCAGGCTCAGTGGGATGCTCTGGATGAGTAATGGACCCTCCCCCTATAAACCTGCCAGATTTCTCCCAGAAGCCCAGTCGTGAGGGCCATGCATAGAGAA